TAAGAACTTAATGCAGGGCTACCTAGTCGCAAACTATAAAGCTGCTTTGAAAGCTCACCTTTCTAAACTGCCACTGCAGATTCGAACCAGATTTTAGCCACATACGTATTTTTAATCGACAATAATTAGTACAGAAGTATTACAGATTATCGAACATTACGTGTTCCTCTCTGAGGGTGTACATACAGCTGAGTTAGAGTTGAAAATACGGCAACAAACGGAACGTGATGAGCGACGGTTACGGCTGATGCGTCAAGAACAGGACCGAGTGAACAGCGAAATAGCTGCTCTTGATCGGTGAGCCAACCATTTGAGCGCAGCAATTCTTTGAAGGCAGTGATCACGATGGCTGAAGAGCGGTGCAGTTTTGATACGCCATCTAATCCCATTGGTGGATTAGACCCCTCGGCGCGCTGCATTGTGGTTGGAACCGCCTCTTAAGGCCGATGTCAGACTTTGCGAATCGCGCGATTCGCTAGCGTCCGCGGTCGCGTTGCGGTACCAGCCAATTGAGTGATTCACTGGCCGCGACGCGACCGCAGACGCTAGCGAATCGCGCGATTCGCAAAGTCTGACATCGGCCTAACGATGTTTCACCAATGACGCTCGATGACTTCATTAAAGAACCACCACCCTCCAGCCGCCGTGATCACTGCCTTTAAATCCTCCGTTCGTGATCCTGTTTTGCTTCTGAACTGGATTACGGTACATTCACTGCTAGTAAACTTTAATAATTATCATCCACTGCAGAAGATCGGTAACTGGCACGATAACTGGTAACGGTGATCTACGTCGGGACACTCTTACAACTCTTGCCGAAGATCACGCACAACTGTCAAATGTAGAGGAGGAAGAGGAGCACAAGCCTGAGTCTAGGCCAAAAACGCCGTCATCTCATTCGCCATCCGTGTCCGATACGCAATCTCCGGTAAGTCGGACATGGACCCCACCCCATCTGTTTGTGTAGACACCCCAAGAGAGTATCCATTACTAAGCCCTGAAAGTCAAGAGCTGCATTTCAGGCTGCTGATTCACCTCATCCTTCTGTATCTCATATGTCTTCCGATGTCTTCGGACCATCTCCTGCGCCTTTACCTCATCCGTTGCCAAAGCCTGCTCGTAATCAAGTCGCACCTCTGAACGGTGAGCTTCAATTTCAGTGAAATAAGCAGGGTAAAAGTATACTTCGCATTCCAGGTGATTTACAGCCTATGCCAGCTCCCCGGAAACCTTGACATCTTCACTATTGAAGGATCGAAGGAAATCCGATAACAGAATTACCAGACGCAGCAGTCTTCTATTTTCTTCACCCATTTGCCCTCAGGACTCGAGTCCCGATCGAGGGGGGGGGGGGTACAATGGGCTGCCAATTTGTACACAGTTCGAACGGATGGTTGACACTGGGTGAACCATTATTTCGCTTACGCACCCACACTAGAGCTCCCTACGGCCCCAGTCACTTTGCGACCGCCTTGCACTTCGTCTGCAGTCTAGGCGTCGAATATTACGCATCGATCATGCGATTGCAGAATGACATTGGATACTATGTACCACACACTCGAACTGCAAGGCGGTCGCCAAGTATAACCGCGTCCTGCTCTTGCAAAAATCGTAATTAATACTGTAAGCGACATGACCACCTACACTCCCCTCTCCTTGCTTCGGTACAGAACTCTTCGTTTTCATACGGTATTTTCAATCCTAATTTTAGGTATAGAGAAACATCTGAGAAGGATGCGCCGAATTCAGGAAGGACTGCGTAGAAGAGCAGAAGAAATGAAGTTGAAAAGCGAGGAAATTCAGATAGAGACACTGTGATCATAATTCTGTCAAACTTTATACGGGTGTATATGACTTTTGCCAATGAATGTTCTGTTTAAAACGGCTAAAAATGACTTCACCTCAGTAAGCACACACAACACACGCACAAAAAGCTGGTAACAAGTTTATCAATAACAATCAACAACTTAAGGCGCTCAATCAAAAAGACCGAATCCCATGTCGTCATCGGACTCCTCCTTAACTTCCTCCTTCTTCTTCGACTCAGCAGCTGGTGCAGCTGCAGCAGCGGCAGGGGCAGCAGCACCAGCAGCAGCCGGTGCAGCAGGTCCAGCCGAACCAGCTCCAGAAGACACGGACGTGATGAGGTTCTGAATTTGAAAAAATAAGCACATAAATCATTACATGATAAGAGAGCGAATTGTAAGGTCAATGTCTCGAATCCAGAGGATGATATCGTTCGATAAGAAAGTTTAAACGGCACCGAAGGAGATCCGAACACCCGTGAGGGATATTATTTCCCTTCCTTAACATACACTTCTATTTTCCAATCAATAGGAGCGCCAAGAAGGAAGGTTGGTGCTATGCGTGTGAGCCAAGCGGGCACACCGACTTTTGATATGATCTATTCACCCCAAATAATATGGTTATTCATCCCGAGTTCCGTTTTTTACTAAGCTAAAATTAAGTAAGAAAGTTGAAGTTAGGGTGAGTAAGCAACATTACTTCCACTGAAATCCTTCTACTCAAAAATCGGCGTGCCCACCAGACTAACATAGCTCGGAAGTTATACTGAAATTAATGAGATAAAGTTCAACAGCGCACCTTCACATCAACTCCTTCGACAGCCTTAGCGAAGAGTCCGGGCCAGAACGGCTCAAATTCAACGTTAGCGGCCTTGAGAAGAGTGGCAATCTTATCTCCAGTGATTGCGACCTCATCATCCTGAAGGATGAGAGCAGCGTAAACGCAAGCCATTTCCTGGTTCAAAGCCATTCCGAGTGCAAGTTGCAAAGTGCCTTAGCTCCACAGAGGACAAGCGCTCAGAGGCTGAAAAAAATGAACTGTGAGCTTCCACGGCAACACAGTATTACACAAGCGAAATGGATCAACAATGAAGACAAGGGAGAATCAGAAAATCGGTCAAACATGAAATGCGATAAGAGGAAGGTGTGCTACCTTTCGAAGAAAAACGAAAACACACAAACTTTAAAATGACTTTGTTCAAAAATACAAAATCAACAACGGCAGCTTATGCCACCAAAATACAAGCTCCTCCAGCTGCTTTGATCTTATCTTCAGCTTCATGAGAGAAGTACTTGGCCTTCACGATCAAGGGCTGTTTCGGCAGCAATCCTTTTCCAAGAACCTACAAGTAGTAATCGTAAGTTATGGCGAGAACTGTAGTTGAAAGTTATCTCTATGATTTTGTTCTTTCATTGAATTATTAATTATCAAACGACTGAGAAATACGGTCATCTTTCACAGCTTGAGATCAAGCCAAAGCGCCCAATTTGGCGTTTCTGTAGCAGAATAGAAAACAAGAAGGCGCTATACAAGTGGGGTGGGCACGCCCAGCTTTTCACGCATGTCAAGTGACTGCCCTCACCCCCACCCCCTAGATTGGCTACACTCCCCCTGGCTCACGAATTCCCCGATTCTCGTGACAGTATAGTAGCGGGCAGCAGTCCCACTTACATACATTTCTGTTCAAAAAATGCGGCGTGCCCACCCTACTTGTATAGCACCAACAAAAATTTTGATCTGCTTTAAACTACGTATGTTAGGAAAATGAATTGTCTCGAATCCAGAGGATGACACTATTCGAAAGCCTAGAATAGCACCGAAGGAGACCCGAATACCCAAAGGGCATGATCTACCTTCCATTACATACACTACTACTCAGTCTGAAGTAGGAGCGCCAAGAAGGAAGGATGACACCAAAACTTTAGTAAAATTACCTTGAAATAGCCGGCCTTCACACAATCGATGACGGGTGCTTTAGCGGGAGTGGCCTTTTCCTTGATCGGATCTGGAACAAGCGACCACAGCCGATCAACGTTTACAGTTGGGCAGTAGTAGTGATTCTTGTTCAAATGGAACACTCGCATACCAACCTAAATCACCATCTTTTCCAATGGAAGCATTTTCGTGATAATGTAAAATCCAAAACCCTAATTACGCCCATAATTAAGTCAAAAGCAGGCAGACACCATACAAGTAGCAAGTCATGGGTCAAACTCAGAATTTTTTATTCAACCAATCAGATTCCCAGTTGTTTCGAACAGGGTAAAGCACAGTTGGTGGAAGGGGAGGGCATCGTGATGCAGAGAACATCACAGCGATCTCCATCTCACTGATGGTTTGGAACTTGCACAATCGAAATGGTACACTTATCCCGGAGCTTTCCGCACCAGCGGAAAAAAATGGACAGTGTTGCCAAGACGAACACTGATCACAATGGCCATGATAAGGTGAGAGTGCGCAGACGCGAGATGGATCTGAGGCGGCTTACAACCCACCTCCCCCCTGGAACAAATTTGAACAAACTACTTTCTGCTTCATTGATCTTTGAGCCGACACAAGAACCATGTAACATTTATTTTGTAATTAACACAGTACAATCGAAACCAACCTTTCCGAAAAGACCTGGATGGAACTTGTCACGGTTGATTCTGTGGTGATGCTGACCTCCTGCTTTACCGCGACCACCGGGATGCTTTCTATGCTTTCCGATACGACCGTGTCCATGTGACACGTGCCCCCTAAGCTTTCGAGTTTTTCTCTTGGCGTGGGCCATACCCTTAAAGTGCTCAAATAAAAATGTAAAATTCGCAAACATGAGATCAGGCGAAGTTTTGAATCACTAGAACCACAACATTAAAAATGACTGCTTAATGCAATGAGCAAAAAAATATAGACGATGATTTTGGGAACCAATATTGTTTCACAAGAAAGTAATAAAAGGAACTGTGACTTCCAATTCCTAATCTCAAAACCTACATGATACAACGGATATAGGAAGCAAACCACGTACTACCATTCGTTCCGAAAAGAATCTATGGTTACATTTCACATCTTATATAGGAACAAAAATACAGCTGGAATTCTTCAAAATGAATAAAAAGTGCCAGAATTTAGGGAAGAACACGAATCCCCGTTTTGTTGTGAAGAGACGCAGAGAAAAGGGCCGCTGCGTGGCAGCCCATCTCGCGTGTTCCAACGTGATGACAGAATTCGTAGCTGCTTCGAAGCTGCCCATCTCTGCGACTTCCGTCCTTTAGCCTTAATTCGTTGTGGGACCACCTGACATTCACTGTTTTTTTTTCATGATGAAAGTCTGCTGGATGCTTTTGATGTTTCTGTAGCGTAATTGGACTTCACTAGTGTTCATTATTATCAAGTCTGTGATGCCAAAAAACCTCGAAATATTCCTTCATCGTATAACTTACTTTCTGTCTTTGTCGTCCTGGTGATGGGAGCATTGCTCAAGATGCTGCTAAAACTTATTGTGTCATGGTGTTCCCTGACGGCTTTACTAGCGCTTTGTTTGGGCTTGCATTCAAAGAGAGTTAGCGATTATATTACCCACTCTGATGTCGATTAAATTCAATACCGGATTCGTCATTTTTCGTATCTCAAGAAATGTTGCCAGGCGCTAAACGTTTTTGGACGGTGACCTTGGCAGGCATATTGGCGGTCACCCAGTACCACCTCAACCTTGCTGCCCATTCTACCTGTACATATCTAGAAAATTCCGGTTGGGTTAAAAGCGTTAAGGCGAAATGTTTACCACACCGGCCCCCCTTACGAAAATTGGTATTTGTGTAGCCGACAAGAACTGTTACACCACGTCTCCCTTACTGGATGAGACCGGGTATTGTAATAACGTGAAAGAAGGAAAAGGTAATCATTGGTAGTTGGGTCTCTGGTAGGACTCTCTCATATTCCAATTCTGTTTGGACCCAGTAGTATTTCACTAAACGTAAGGAAGAAGCCCTGGCTATGTGAGCTAATGGACGAGATGCCTCCGCACGAACTACGACAAAGAAATCAGGGTTTGTGACGTGGCGACCTAATTCAATATCGCGCAGGTTAGGTGAGCCATGTGAGGCAAGTTTCAGAACACCTCGTCCTCGGACGCCGTCTCTGTCATTTAAGGGGAGAAGAGGAGTCCTTGTTCAAGTTTTCGTCTTCGCTGTCTTTGCTCTTCATCTTAATTCTTTCCTTCGTTTGATGTTAACTGCGCATCCTATTCTCACTCCGCGCTGTTTACCTCACCTAATAATCTGGTGTTGTTTCAAAAACTCAGTGATCCGTGGTTTTGGTCCAGTGATTTCCGTAGTCCAGTCGATGGGCAATCCAAGCCTGTTTCTTTGCTTCCATTGAACTGACTCAGAAGGGATAGTAGGCTTGTTGCCTTGTGGAATTCCGAACCATGCGCGTAGCCAAGCTATTTGTTTCGAGCTCATCTTCGCCCCCTATAGCGTACACATTGGGTGTGTTTGGGAGACTACGCCCAGTAGTCAAAACCTGTATCGCATGCCGTTACAGGCTTCCATCCCCCCCCCCCCCCCCCGGTCAGCCAATTTCGTACCGGACTTGTCCGAGGGATGGAAACACTGACTTTTACCTCGGCTGTTTCCCGCAAGTTGTAGAATGCGCGCCGCATTCGAAAACGAAATGGTTGGTGCTAAAAGCTTCATCCTTCACCGTCCAGCTACATTGTGCAGAGTACGCCTCAATCACAATGACCAAGAATGAAGCCGGGTCACTCATAGCTTAAATCCACTCTTCATAAAAGAGCAATGTTCAACATTGACTTTGTATCTACCTCTTTCAACACCGATGGAGAGCCTCGAGTCGCTTGGGCAAGGGGGCTGTACGCAGCAGGTGTAGGCATCCTTAAGCTCATCTGTTTCCGCTAGCGTCTTTTGAGATCTTCTAATTCGTGACTGGCTTTCGCAAACTTGGGATTCTAGCCTTTCCCAGACACATCAATCAACCAAACTTAAATCGGTACTCGTTGGTATCTATGTAGTGCTTAAACTTGGTCTTCTGCCAAGTTTGAATTTTCTTGAGCTCACAAGGGAGGCTTCGTCTTGTTCGGTTATTTAGGTGCTATTTTAAGTCTTGGTAAGCAAATTGGAGTGTTTTTTTTTTTGGAATTAATACATGATATCGGTATTTGGTCGTCATTGCAGGAACTAAACAGTCTTGTCGCCCTCTGACATGTAGTACAACACTCACACTCCTTTGTTCTTCCTGCTCGTAAACGACAGCATAAGCAACACTACAAACCAGCGTAAAGTGCTATAGAATTTCCTGTGTTCGAGAAATTTTTGGAACAGGCATGCCAACACGCCGTCGATGTGGCTCAGTGATAGTTGAGAGGCAAAGGCGATTACCCGATATTCCTCTAGTGGAAGTTCCCTTCGTCAAGGTGTTTCATGGTAGCATAGAGCACTCCTTCACTAAAAGTTAATGACTGAGAACATGAGAACTTCGCAAAGCTCCGAGATCGCTCACGCTGTCCATGATTTGCAGAGCCCGTACTTTGTGTTGTTTATACATTTGACACGACACACTCGATCTTGGCTTTGTGATTAAGGTCACGCCTTAGACTGGACCTGTTACACCCGCCATAAAAGTTCTGGAAATCTGAGATGTTCTCCCTTTCAAACTTTTCTCTCTGTCGGCATCATTGCTGTTTGCCTCCTTATCTACATATATTGACAAGTATGCTGCAGTTATGGGTCACCATGGTTTTTTCCGATATTTTTTTCTGCTCCTGAACATTTGTTCGTGATTCTCCATAAGATGCTGTCATACTTTGCAACCGACTTGCGAATTGTGAGTAGAATGTTCGATCGTGCGATTGTAACTGCTTACGAAGTGAGGCGGTTGCAAAGTATGACTGCACCCATCAAGTGGGGCTGTAGTACTATGGCAATTATGGGCGTGTTCATAGTCGGTCCGATCGCACCGCGTTAGATACGTATCGATCATCTAATCCTCGGACAAGTCTGATGATCGTCACTACTAGGCGATCGTTACGGTCGTTACGATCATACGACCAACTATGAATGCACCCTGTGATTGCTACATTATTGAAACGTATATTGTGCTGTTGATTGCAACATTTGCTCGGGTTTTTGAAGTTTCTTCTGAAGAAGTTATTGCCTCAAAGCCATTATGTGTTCGAAATAAGACAATCTTTTCTGGACATTTCCTTAGTTTATTTGTTAAGTTCTGCTTTTTTTTGTTGGGAAAACCTTTGAAAACATTTCCGAGAAAGATACATTGTGAAACATGGTCGACCTTTGTATGATTCGTGCTTGGTTACATATCCGAACTAGTTCTTTTTGGCAAAAGTGGTATTTCCGCGTTGACGTAGAGCTTCTCAGCTTCAATTTCTCTAAAAGTTGATAATGGAATTTCCCAACTCATTAAAATTTCAGCAATGGCGGCGGTGCAGAAGATGCTCGGCAGACTGGGTAGCATTGGAGTGGGTCTTGCTATCGCCGGTGGAGTGGCCCAATCGGCTCTTTATAATGGTAAGTTCTTTGCTCGCAGTAACTACATTTGTTTCCCTTTCCATTAACAAATCCTGGAAATTCATGTCTCATTTGGAGAAGATTTCTAAACTTCAATATAACACGTCTTATTAGCAAGTTTGTGGGTTCCTATACAAATAAAATGTAGAGTGGCTGATATCAACACTTTTAGTTGATGGTGGTCAAAGAGCCGTTATTTTCGATCGATTCGCTGGAGTGAAGGACGAAGTAATTGGTGAAGGCACTCATTTTCTTGTTCCTTGGCTTCAGAAACCAATTTTGTTCGATATTCGCTCAACACCCAGAGTGATTTCCACGATTACTGGAAGCAAAGGTACTCCTTCTATATTATACTGTTTGCTAGTGCGTGTTTTGTATTGTTTTGCAATGCTGGAAAGATTCTAACGTCCAATATGTCTGCTGAATTACAGATCTTCAAAACGTCTCTATAACCCTTCGTATACTTCACCGTCCAGATCCTAATAAATTACCGAACATTTACCTCAATATTGGTTTGGATTACGCAGAACGAGTTCTGCCTTCCATCACGAATGAAGTTTTGAAGGCTGTCGTGGTAGGTATGAGGTTGATCACTGCAGACCTCAGTGACGTGGATTTACCAATTCCTTCAGGCTCAATTCGATGCTCATGAGATGATCACGCAACGTGAAACAGTTTCCCAACGTGTGTCGTTGGCGCTTGCTCAACGAGCCGCACAATTCGGTCTGCTCTTAGATGACATCTCCATTGTGAGTGCTTTTTGATCCTAATCAGGCGACAAGTGACCTACTTTTTTTCCGCCAGTTAGACTGTTAAGTCGTTTTGGTGCTAACTTAGTTGGGGGGGGGGCACGCGGCGGCGCGGCAGTCTGCTCACCTGGGCTCTCTCGAGCGAGACAGTGTAAACTCGAACATTCCAGCTTTTCACGCATGTCAAGTGACTGCCCCACCCCCAACCCCCTAGGCTGGCTACACTCCCCCTGGCCCACGGATTTCCGAACATGCCAGGCGAGCAGACTGCCGCGCCGCCGCGTGCCCCCCCCCCCAACTAAGTTAGCACCGCTCGTTTTCTTGCCTAATTTTTTCGCCCGGGGTTCCCTCAGCGCAGCATTAGCGAACATTTTTATACGAAGTTATACGACAATGGTTATTTTTCAATTAAAAACCTTTCTGGCGTTTTGAATAGAATCCAGATATCTCAGCACTATTTCTTGATAGGAGGCCTTTAGCCTGGATGTGGACTTTTTCATATGTTTACCTGGTAGCATAGTTGCAGTTATGTAGCTTTAACATTTACTGAAATAGAGACCGCTCTGTGGAAGTAATCAGTTGGAAAATTTTATGTTACTGTGAATCAAAGAATGGTGAGTGAGAGTCTGCTAGGGTGACTGTTCGGTCCTGAGTTGTGGTTCGAAGAATCTGTTGTTCAACGCGCTAAATTTCCCTTGAAGTCAGTTTCTAGTGTTTAAAAAGAGATGAGGGTTGTCAGTTGACTATATTGAATTGTGTTTGAGAGAAAGAAGAAACTAATAATGATGATCTGGTTGATGTGATAAGATTGATTCATAGTATGCGATTAGTGCGGGACTTCCATTGTTCTTATACCGTTCTTCGAGACAATTAGTACAGGTTCTTTTACAATTCTAATCCCTAATACCGCTTTTCTAGACTCACCTTTCCTTCGGTCGCGAATTCACGGAAGCAGTTGAAATGAAACAAGTGGCACAACAAGATGCTGAAAAGGCTCGTTATCTTGTAGAGAAAGCTGAACAAATGAAAATCGCAGCCATTACCACTGCTGAAGGAGATGCACAAGCCGCCAAATTGCTCAGCAAGGTATTTATTGTTTCCCCTCATGGACACCAATTTTATAAAAATTGTTCATCTATTTATTTGACATTTAGGCGTTCGCGGATGCTGGCGATGGACTCATAGAGTTGAGAAAGATCGAAGCTGCTGAGGAGATAGCTGAGCGTATGTCCAAAGCAAAGAACGTCACATATTTGCCGGGAAATCAAAACGTACTGCTCAATCTGCCACAACATTAAGTGGACTCACTTTTTAGCAATGCTTGTTGACATTCGTATTTTCCGATGCTGATATACTTTCCCATTTTTTCTTCGTCTTGGCTGTCCTTTGTATACGCGTTATAATCGTTATGTATCTCACTTGTAATATTGTTCCTGAAAATTTATAGGATAGTTTAGGTTACATGTTGTTGTTTGATATTTTTCATTAGAGTGATTGTTAGAATAAAATATTGTCATACGGCTTAATATAATTAACTTGAATGGTTGCGATCCAACTATTTGTAAATTTAGAGCAAACGGAATGCTTTTTTCTGCTGTAAGTTTTATATGTGTCAAAATTTATTCGTGCCAGCATGTATCTGGTTTTCCGAATCCACCAGTGTACAGGGAGGTTTTCTAGCTGTTCATCAAAAGCATAGGAAAAAAAACAAGAGGACGGTGGGAGTCAAACAATTGGTTACTGTCGTTTTCTTAAAGCTACCCTTCTCGCGTTTAGAAAAGCAAATTATTACGATAAGTTTGACAAGCTTTCATAAACGGGTGCTTGCTGGGCTACCTCAGTGGGTTTGCATTGTCTTGTTTCATTTGCATGTCTAAGCGAGCAGTCCACGTAGGTATGGGTGTTCCCGGTAATGATCAGATCGATTCATAGTAATTTTCAATTCTACGATAGTACTCATGCGGATATCTATCTCTTTCATTTAGGGCATGCTTTTGTGAGTACTGATTTGTGTAAATAACATGTTGCTATGCGCGAAACGTATTCTATCATATCTCTTCCTTGTTTGATATATGAAAATGCTTTGATCTTTAGGCAAGATGGCGACTATGCGTTGTCGCTTTTATGAGAATCACTTTCCCGATATAGAAGGAAACGGTTGTGGTAAATGTGCGCCAAATAGCTGATATGGGTGCTTATGTGAGCCTCTCAGAGTACAATGGGAAAGGTGGGTTTTTCTTTCATTTTGATGCGATTTTCAACAACACGACTCCTGAAACTTCCGCTTCGACGAGCAAGCGTATTCAGAAAACACTGCTTTGTGAGACAAAAAGCTTCTTCTCGGAGTGATGTAAGAGAAGATGTTGCATCTATCTTTTCTCCTTGAGTGTAATCTTGTGCAAGATTTAACTCATAAATTATGGAAGTAGTTTGTGAGAGGGAGGGATGAAAGCGCTCAGTATTTCCTTGGAATCACGCAATGAGCACTCGTGGTAGTGTTTATTTCTTTTCCTCTCATTGCTTTTTAGAGGGTATGATCTTGCTGTCTGAATTGTCTCGCCGACGTATACGATCAGTGAACAAGTTGATCCGAGTAGGCCGCAGCGAGTGTGTGGTCGTCATTAGGGTAGATAAGGATAAAGGTACTTGTCTCTCCCTTGTATTTTTTGTTTTGTGGTGAACATCAATCATTTCAGGATACATCGACTTGTCCAAAAGACGAGTATATTCCAAAGATTTGATTCTGTGTGAAGAGCGATTTGCGAAAGCAAAGGCAATTAATAGGTGTGTTTTTTCCTTCCTATCTCACAATTTGCTCGTAACGCAAAATGTGTCCTAAGACCTCGGTCAGACTCGGCGATTCGTGCGTACGCTGTCCAACCGCGAAGCACAAGAGTGGCAGCAACGGGCGATGACTCAGCACACGATCGATATCGGTTGGCAGGGGGGAGATTAATCATCCTCACCCATCGTTCATGTTGTTCTGCTCGGTTTTTTTTTTCAAATTCTTAATCAGGATAGGATATAATCAGGAAAAGACTGCGTGGGATGCACTTGAATGCGAGGAAAGTGGTCCTGTAATAATTGACGTGATGAAATTGATCCACCATAAGAAGTTGTGAAATACAACTATCATGGATTTTCCCACTCGATCAAAGAACCAATCAAGTTTCGAGCTAGTTACTTCAAGATACCTTTGAGGTTATTACAATGACAGGGAGGACCACTATCCTGATTAAGAATTTGAAAAAAAAACCGAGCAGAACAACATGAACGATGGGTGAGGATGATTAATCTCCCCCCTGCCAACCGATATCGATCGTGTGCTGAGTCATCGCCCGTTGCTGCCACTCTTGTGCCGGGCAACTCCGTCGCCGGCGATTCCGTCGCTGGTGTACAGCGACGCAATCGCCGAGTCTGACCGAGGTCTAATGCAGAAAGACGAAAGCTCAATGCGCACACTGTGGAACTGGGTAAAAAGAAGATGTGCATACATATTGACAATCTCAAATACTTCAGCAATCTGGAATAAAATAGCATGGCTTGAATCTACTAAATTGTCCGATAAGCAGTGTCGTTTTTCTTCAAACAAAAAAAAATTAAGATAAAATGCTATGTTGTCATATCATCTCATATATCATTTCAAAGAAAATTGTCTGCTCTACAATAGCATGTTTGGTTTCTACAATCAATTTAAGGTTTTCAAATTTTAGGCCTGCGAAATGGGAGGTCCAGCCGACAAAAATTGACCAAACCGACAACTAGCTCTAACTTTATTTTCCCTTCGGAGAAATCAATCAATGATGTACCCTCTACTTACTCATGACCTCTTCTGAACATTCCACTATAGGTTTCCAACAAGTCGCGTGCTTCTTTTTCCAGACCTGGTTTTTCAACCAGAACTCGACGGTCAAGCACCTCTTGAAATCAGGTCGAAATTTTTTACAGCCGAGACATTGAAAAACTAGTGGAATTTAAGAACAAGTCATGACTAAGTTAGGAATGTACGCCTGGTTGATTTTCTCATCTTCTCAAGGATAATTTTTTCAAAGAAATGCGGTCACTTTCGTGGACAAAGCACCTTACTCCTAAACCTAAAATTCGAACTAATTCCAACAAACATAAAACAAAACAAATGAGCGAATAGAGCAGAAGAAGTGCTCACGAAAAGGTATATCCACTTCATATGAAACAATGGCGGTTTAGGGAAAAAAATTAGCTCAGCCAGAAAAAGCAAATTCGTAAAGAAATACAGGAAGGGCTTTTTTTCAACCTAACAGCGGAATGTTCAGAAGAGGTCATGAGTAAGTAAGGGTACATGATTGATTTCTCCCAGGGAAAATAAAGTTAGAGCTTGTCGGTTTGGTCAATTTTTGTCGGCTGGACCTCCCATTTCGCAGGCCTGAAATTTGAAAACCCTGGAATGATATGGAAGAAAACATGCTATTTTGTAGAGCAGACAATTCTCTTTCGAATGGTATATGAACGATGTAAAAGCATGGGGATTTTAGATGAAAATTTTTTGGTTGAAAAAAAGCGACACTACTTTATCGAGACAACCTAATGGAACCTATGCAGAAATGACGTCTTAGAAGACGCGCATTTAACAAGTGACGTTCTTGCGAATGCGTCGATATTGAGATTGTACCAGTGAAGGAATTCATTGTTCTCCTGAAAAAGGTTAGATTTTTCAGCATTTTACGGCATGTCGCAGAACAGCTTGGATATGACAAAGACGAGCAGTTGGAGGTTGTTTATTCATTTATATACTGTCCAAGTTAGAGTATTCTGTATAAATAGCAATTGATGCATTTACTTTTGTAGGACCTATACATGAGGACAGCGTGGCATTTCGATAGGAAAGAAAAGAAAAAAGCTGCTGCTTACGACGTTTTCAAACGAGCTATTGCGTAAGTCCAGTCAATCTAGGAAGCATATAGCTGTGAAAAATATTGTTTTCCTTGGAGTTGTCTCTTCTCTCGCTTTTTTACTTAGATGTATTAGTAAGTCAGACCTCCTTCGGTAGATTGGCGTTAGTAGCGTAAGCACTCAAAGGCTACTTTGTAAGATGAGGAGTTAGGGCAAATTCTAATTCGTCCTTCTTTTCAATCAGCGCAGCGCGAAGACATCCAACGAGATGAAGAGCCATATAGGATTTTTCGGTTCATTTTCTTCAGTAGAATGCAATGTGCTGGTTGTCAAGTATATCTTTGAAGGGAGCCTCACGTATTGGACGAATGCGATATTTCTCCTGAAGTTAGAGAAGCACTTCTGGAAGACATTAGGAAGAAACTCACTCCACAAGCCGTCAAGGTGAGCGCAGATTGTAAAATTAATTTAGCTGTTTCTGTTTTCCTTTTTATCCAGATGTTCCCCATTGTTGTTGCACCATTGTTTGCCATTTTTTAAGCACGATTGGCCAGTTGATTACAGATTCGAGCCGATATAGAGGTGTCATGTTTCTCTTATGATGGCATTGACGCCATCAAGGAAGCACTAATTGCTGGCAAGAATTGTTCAACAGAGTCGATGCCGATTAAGGTAATTCTTTCTTTCGTTTCGTATAGTTTTAGGAATGATCTGTTAGATATTCGTACCTTTAAAAAATTGGGATTTGCTGACTGCCGAATTTCCTCTTTGCCCATCTCATCTTATCATTTAGATCAATCTCATCGCTGCTCCACATTTTGTCGTCACGACACAGACGCTTGATAGAGAACATGGTCTCACTGCTGTCAATGATGCGCTGGATGTTGTTAGGCAGACTATAGAAAGATATGGAGGAAAATTTGCTATCAAAGAGGAGGTGAATTTTACAGTTTCGAATAAATTTGTCCCTTTGCCTCCAATTTTGTCACCTTATTTTCAGGCTCGCGTCGTCACCGATGTTGACGACAATGACATTAAGAAAAGGTTGGAGCTGGCTGAACTTGAGGAAGAGGAAGGGTCTGATGAAGACGAAGATGAAAGTGAGGAGGAGGATCAGGTAAGTTTCTGCCACACATTGCTCGCCAATCCAAACAATGTATATAGGATATCATCCATAAGTAGATCGTCGCTTTTTTTCAAACCAAACACACAAACCCCCGCCAACGAAAAAATTTTTCTCTAAATCCTTATGCTTTTACACCATATTATATACCATTCGAAAGAGAATTGTCTGCTCTACAAGATGCTATGTTCCTCTTCCACCTCTGTTCCAGGGTTTTCAAATTTTAGGCCTGCGAAATGGGAGGTCCAGCCGACAAAAATTGACCAAACCGACAACTAGCTCTAACTTTATTTTCCCTGGGAGAAATCAATCAATGATGTACCTCTACTTACCATGACCTCTTCTAAACATTCCACTCTTAGGTTGCAAAAAAACTTTGCCCGTGTTTCTTTTCGAATTGGCTGACCGATGAGCCATAGCAATTTTCAAATTAAAATTGTTCCTCGTAAACGCCATTGTTTCATACCAAGTGGTGTTCCTTTTAGGAGCACTTCTTCTGCTCTCATCCTGATTTGTTTTGTTCTTATGTTTGTTGGGAATTAGTTCGAATTTTAGGTGTTTAGGAATAAGGTGTTTTATCCGCGAAAGTGACCGCATTTCTTTGAAAAAATTATCCCTGAGAAGATGAGAAAATCAACCAGTTTTTTAAAAATGTTAGGGTTAGGAGCGTACATTCCTAAATTAGTTATGACTTGTTCTTTGAAATCTACTAGTTTTTCAATGGCTCTCGCTATAAAAAAATTAAATTTTGCCCTAGATCTCAGCTAATGGTGCTCGACCGTCGAGTTCTGGTTGAAAAACCAGGTCTGGAAAAGGAGCGACGCGACTTCTTAGGAAACCTAATAGTCGAATGTTAAGAAGAGGTCATGTGTAAGGAGAGGGTTCATCACCTATTGATTTC